TCATTTTTCAACAATTCAAGTAAAGATCATCAATTAATGCTAAAACTGTTGGATGAATTATTTGGGAAACAGTATATTCACAAGGTCTTAAAGTACCATGCCACAGATTTTTAATTAATTACCTATGAAAACAGAACCGCAGCAATGGAGAGATATGGCAGATTTCTCCTTAATAAGTGATCACCTTAGCATCACCCATAATGGGATAAGCTGACATTATATGTCTTCAACCGAAATGTGATGCAGTGGGACATACACAACATCACCTAAGTAATTTTCTTGCCAAATACACACAACTGGAATCTAATCTCAGGAAAACAATCACATAAAGCCAGACTGAGGAACATTTAATATGACAATTGTCCTGGACTCTTCGAAATTGTCAGTGTATTAAAATGAAATAAACATAGGAAAAGGAACTGTCCTTGATAACAGGGGAGTAAAGGGGCAGATAAACAAATTAAATACTTGTTCCTTGATTGGACACTAGATGCCCCCTCAAAAAAAGCTACACAAGATATTTTAGGATAACTGAGAAAATGTAATTATAGTATATATATATATTAGAAAAAAAATTGTATAGATGATAATTCCTTTAGTGTGAATGCTTTTATTGTTATGTAGATAAAGTCCTTGTTCATTTGTCCTTAGAAGATACATACTGAAGTATTTAGGTGTTAAGTGTGATAGACAGATGACAGACAGGTAGTTACAATGTAGATATATACACAATTTCATATGTATTTCATATATTATAATATTTATATCCACTGTATGTTTAAATATTATTTAAATTTTAAAATCTTTTAAATTCAAAACTGGGGGTAATTGCACCCCTTAAGTTTATCGTATTTAAGGTCTATAATTCTGTTTTTAAAATTATTGCCTTGCATATTTTAAAACAAATAATACAGGAAAATGTTACTTTAAGATTTTAAAATCAGGTATATTTTCAGCAAATGGTGCTGGGACAAGTAGATAACCATAAAGAAAAGAAATGAAATATGACCATTACTTCACTCCATAAGTAAAAATGAACTTTAAATGCATCATAGAGCTAAATATAAACGCTAAAAGTATAAAACTTGAAAAAGAAAAGCATAAATATTTGATAGCATGTGCTGGAAAATAAATATGACACAAAAGCCCAACTCATAAGAGAAATAATCGATAAACTGGACTTCATAAAAATTTTAAACTATGCTCTTTTTTTTTTTAAACTTCTGCTCCTTGAAATACATTCTTAGAAACCAAAAAAAGAAAGAAAAAGACACAAACCGGGAGTAAACATGTGCAACACTGAGACATGACAAAGGGATTGCATACGAAGTATATAAAGAATTGCAATAATTAAATAAAGCAAACTCAATAAAAAATAGGACTTTGAGCAAACACTATCAGTGAACACATACGAATGGCCAATCAACATATGAAAAGAAGCCAAATATCATTATTCACCGAGAAAATAGAAGTAAAACAAAATGAGATATCACTACACAGCCACTTCAGTGTCTAAAATTTAGAGGGTGCGGCGGCAAGTGTTGGGGCGTGGAAGTTGGTGGGCACGCAGACAGCGCACCCAGGTTCCATTAAGGGCCAGCGGCCACGTGCTTGCCCGCGACCCAGCCTCTTAGCCAGCACAATGCAAACCGTAAACAACACAGCAGTGTGGGGAGGAGCCTTTGTCTCTCGAGCTTTCTCTGCCTAGTCTCCGGCCTCATGACGCTTCAGGCGAAGGGCCGTCTTTCTGCCCCCAGTTCCCGCGCCGCGCGGGGAACCCGCAACTGTGCCACCGGCTCCGGAGCTGAGAGCGCTGCCAGGCTGTCGCGCCAGGATGGCGGATGAGCAAGTCGGGCGCTATACCTGGTCCAGGCAGCGCCGCCCCACCTGCCCTGCGCCCTCGGAGGGGAGGCTCGTGTCACAGGTTGGACCACGTCGCACGGCGCCTCGCTGCTGCCAACCCCTACGCACCCCCTGTGCTGCAAAAAAGCGTGTTCGGAGAGGCCACCGCTTCAGCAGTGAGGCCTGCCTCCACCCGCCGTCCGACCCTGTCTGCGCGGGATCCAGAGTTGGATTCCAGCCGGGCTGAGCCTCAGCCCGCTCGGGGACTATGGGCACCACCAGCCAGCGGAAAGGGGTGTGGCTTCACGGGGTGGCCCCAAGGTCCCAACACTTAACCCCTGATCCCCGCCCCACCTTCCACGTGGGGCGAGTCAGACATCTGACACGCGCCTGCAAGCCCTTACACGGAAAAGCGAGAAAACCTCCAGCGTTAGCACACCGGACAATCAGTTCCACCAAAGTTAACGACAATGCTTTAAATGTTTTATTTTCTTCGCTTTAAAAATATTTACAGATCTGAAATCTCTCCCCATTCGCCCCTACCCATACTCAGGACAAGAGAAACGGAAAGAGGCGTTGAGATGATTGTTCAAAGCCCCCAAGGGCCGGCTTGGCCGGCCATGTGTGCGGGTACATAAATACAGGTGTGTATGTGGGGAGAGGCGTGTACTTGGTTTGGTGTTTTTCTGATTTTTTTTCCCCTACCAGTCAATATCGTTCTGGCCAAAACTCCCTTTCCCACCACCACCCAAGAACAGCCCCTCCAAAATGGTTTTCAAAACGTATTGGATTGTTTTGGGTAGAACGAGGTGATCTGGCTGGAGGAATGCCAATAAATACCAGAAACAATCAAAACAAAAAATAGGGCAGAGGCCATAAATAAGAATAAATTAAAAATAAAATAAAATAAAATTTAAGAACACTAACAACGGCAAGTGTTGGAGGGTACCTACCTCCAGCAATTGGAACTTTCATATATTGCTAGTAGGAGGGAAAAATGTCACAGCCGTATTAGAAAACAGTTTGGTGGGTTTTTTAAATAAAGTTAAACTTTAAATAAAGTTAAACATTTAATTTAACTTATTTAAACTTTAAATAAAGTTAAACATTTAACTTTAAACTCCCACTCCTCAGTATTTACCCAAAAGAAATGAAAATTTATGTCCACACAAAAACCTGTATCAAATGTTTAAAGCACCCTGGGGATGAAACAGTTTCTGAATTTAACATCACGGGTCACACTGCATGGGGCAGGTTGGTGGGGATAAGGTCAATGTATCTCTGGATCTCATGCACCACAGCATCCATGTGGCTCCCGTCCTGCATGCAGGGACTCTGGTGTCTGCCAATCACACAGTCAATCTCTTTCTGGACTTTAGCTGATAAGACACAAGTGAGACTGATGGAAAAACAGGAAAATACATACCACATTTGCATACCAATTAAGAGTTAAAGCTCTGTGAAGGTGTTCCAACATCATTATAAACATGAGTTACAGGCCCAGAAGGACACCTAGACATACAGAATGAGTTGCCATAATATAGGTACAAATGACTTTCATACAAGCTAGGCTTTGAGATATATCTGTGCACACCTATATATTAGCATACAGGATCATTAATACAAATAGAAATTATGAAATGCTTCAAATATAAATATTACATTTTTTTTGAGGAAGAGCTATTTTAATTTTCTATTAAACATTCTTCCAAAAACATTCTTTTACCCCCCATCTTACCGAGTTATTAGAAATAACATTAGCATGAGAAAAACTAGGAAGGTAAAAATAGGGAAAACACATCACATGCCAAAGTCTGATATGAAATTTACCTTTAAAAAAAAAAAGGAATAAAAAGTAGTATTCCTTTAAATTGAATTTAAAAAACTAGGAAGGGGCTTCCCTGGTGGCGCAGTGGTTGAGAGTCCGCCTGCCGATGCAGGGGACGCGGGCTTGTGCCCCGGTCCGGGAGGATCCCACGTGCTGCGGAGCAGCTGGGCCCGTGAGCCGTGGCCGCTGGGCCTGCGCGTCCGGAGCCTGTGCTCCGCAGAGGGAGAGGCCGCAGCAGTGAGAGGCCCGCGTACCACAAAAAAAAACAAAAAACAAAACTAGGAAGGTAAATTAAATGTGCCTTGTTCAACTAAACATATGAAAAGGGAAAATTATAACAAAGGAAGGAGAGTTTTACAAATTTAATTAAATTAATACGAGATTATAATTTGAAAACTGTGCATCTCAAAGCAAACTTTATTTGTTCAATTATTTTTAACAACAGTGTTTTATGATTCTAGTACATTGATTTTTTTCCAAGAAGGAAACTCACTTAAAAATATTTTTGTTTTATAAAATAGGCCTTTTTTCAGCTATATATTTTTTCTCCCCAGCCTTGATCATATTTCTTTGATTTGGGAAGAAAATACTGTTTTGATGGCATGAAATGCAAAACTGTAAAGATTTTTTTTAAAAAAATCCCAGTACAGAATTTTATAAATTATCAGTGGAAAACAGATTAAGGTCATTAAGTGCACAACACTAATTACTGGCCAGCTACTGGTATTGTTTCTTCCCTAGTTCTCCCAAGGAAAACTTAAATTGAGTCTTCAGCAGAATAATCCTCAAATATACTTTTTTTTTTTTTTCTTTTTTTGCGGTACGCGGGCCTCTCCCTGTTGTGGCCTCTCCCGTTGCGGAGCACAGGCTCCAGACGCACAGGCTCAGCGGCCACGGCTCACGAGCCCAGCCGCTCCGCGGCATGTGGGATCCTCCCGGACCGGGGCATGAACCCGTGTTCCCTGCATCGGCAGGCGGACTCTCAACCACTGAGCCACCAGGGAAGCCCCTCAAATATACTTTATAAGCAAAATGAGAGCTTTTGTTTACATAGTTTTTGGATTTTGCTATTCCTAATTTTATTCTACCCCAAACCACAATTACCATATTAACTTTGTGATGCACAGTTGTATGCAATTCAGCAAAGCAGTAGTACACCATCAGGTTCTATTCACCCAGAGCTTAGGAAAAACAGGATTGGTCACACCCATTTAAAAACAAATACGCTATTTGCCAATGTGTAGTTTCAATCTAAGTTCTGACAATGAAATATATGGACATATATCTATATATCTCATCTTGATTTTCAAAGGTAGGCAAAGAGAGTTCTTCACAGCTTAGCTTTGCCTGGCTGAAGATGATTTTGTAACTTCATAGCCAGACCCATGTTGCCAGTGATTTTCAATTTACCTTGAAAGAAGGCCGACTGAGGATTCATTTTACCAGTCATCAAAGCCAGTAAGTCTGAGTCAGCCATTGCAATTGTGCAGTCGCCCTTCTTATCTGAGTTAGGGAGCCCTGATCCTTTGCCATTCTTCACATCCACCACCCTGGTGGCTTCTTTACCTCCAGGGCCATCCTTCACCTTGAAGGCAAAAATACCACCAATTTTCTTCACACACTGCTCCCCTTCCTCTTCAAGCTTCTTCTCAATCTCCTTAAAGACAAGATTTGCCTTAAATCCATCAACTGCAGAGCTGGTTGGAGCAGCCTCCATTTGATGAGTTCTAAAAGAACTAGCAGCTTCAGGAAAACCCATCTTGTACAGCGTGACCACTACTGCTCCTCCGATGCCTAAATTATGCTGCAGAGCAACCTTTGCACCAGGAACTTGCCTTTTTCCGGCTTCCTAAATATTACATTATTAACTCAAGAAATTACTGTCCTCGCAGAAAGAAAAAACAGGAATCAAGTATTAATTTCACTTTAAAAATCAAATTCTGTAACTGATGTATATGTATGTATGGTTTGTGTGACTGTACATGTGTTGTGTATTTATTTGCAACTTTCAATGCTATCTTCTTTAATCCTCATACTCCTCCCAAAGGTGGCCACTTTGAAACATTCTAGCAGTTTCTTCTGAAATTTAAATTTCATATTTATAAATAATTACTAGGGCTTCCCTGGTAGTGCAGTGGTTAAAGAATCTGCCTGCCAATGCAGGGGACACAGGTTTGAGCCCTGGTCCGGGAATATCCCACATGCCGTGGAGCAACTAAGCCCGTGCGCCACAACTACTGAGCCTGCACTCTAGAGCCTGCGAGCCACAACTACTGAGCCCACATGCCTAGAGCCCATGTTCTGCAACAAGAGAAGCCACCGCAATGAGAAGCCCTCGAACCGCAATGAAGAGTAGCCCCCACTTGCCACAACTAGAGAAAGCCTGCACACAGCAATGAAGACTCAATGCAGCCAAAAATAAATAAAATAAATTTATTTTAAAAATTACTACTTTTATTTCCTGAGTTATCCATTTTTAGACAATGTATAATGACTTTCTGGTAAGTGAGATGAGGGCTTACATCTCAACCACCACCCCATACAAAATAAGTGCCCACAAACAGATACATACATACACACACACACACACACACACACACATCTTCCCCTCACTCAATTTTCTGCAATATATTTATATCAATTTTTTATTATATCACTATTCATTGTTTATATCATTATGACTATGTAAATACTGTACATTGTAAGACAACTATGATTATGTTGACTCTTTTGTACATTCTTGGTCTTTTAACACGTATTTCAATTCCTAATTTTTAGATGCCAATTTAGAATTATTGCAAATGCTCAGGCAGATGTTTCAAACTCTTAGTAATTAATTTTCTAATTACTGAGAAGCCTCAATTTATCATTTCTCTTTTGTTCTTGGTGTCTCCTCTCCCAACTGCTTTATCCACCTAGTCCATTTTGAAATAGATGTTTTCTAAACCTTGTGCCCAGCACCCTCTATGAAACCTCCATTTTCCTACATGAGATCTCCTGACTCTTCAGGAATAACTCTCATTTGTAATTAATTTATCATCATTTCAATGGGGTTCTGACCTAGAAAAACATAATTTGCTTAAAGATAATTTTTTTAAAAATTGTTCATAAAAGTTAAAACTATTGCCCTGAAAGGAAATTCTTACGGCAAACACCATTTTTCTGGACTCAGACTTCTGGAATAATAAAATTCCTTTTGAAGTGTGACATAAGTACAAAAAAAGAAAATTACAGGCCAATATTCCTGATGAACATAGATGCAAAAATTCTCAACACAATGCTAGCAAACTGAATACAAGAGCACATAAGAAGGATCACACACCGGGCTTCCCTGGTGGCGCAGTGGTTAAGAGTCTGCCTGCCAATGCAGGGGACACGGGTTTGAGCCCTGGTCCGGGAAGATCCCACATGCCGTGGAGAAACTAAGCCATACGCCACGACTACTGAGCCTGCGCTCTAGAGCTGGTGAGCCACAGCTGCTGGGCACGTGAGCCACAACTGCTGAAGCCCACGTGCCTGGAGTCTGTGCTCCGCAGCAAGAGAGGCCACTGCAGTGAGAGGCCCACGCACCACAATGAAGAGTAGCCCCTGCTCGCCTCAACTTGAGAGAGCCCGCGCACAGCAGCGAAGACCCAACAGAGCCAAAAATAAATAAATAAAATAAATAAATTTTAAAAAAAATTAAAAAAAAAAGAAGGATCACACACCATGATTAAGCCAGATTTATCCTTGAGATATATGGGTGGTTCAAAATATGCAAAACAATAAATATGATGTACCACATTAATAGAATAAAGGATAAAAATCATACTGTCATCTCAATAGATGGAGAAAAAACATTAGACAAAATTTAACATCCTTTCATGATAAAAACTCCTCCCAACAAATTATGTATAGAAGGAATGTATCTCAACAAAATAAAGGAATGTATCTCAACATATATGACAAGCCCAGCGCTAACATACTCAACGGTGAGGGGAGTGACATCAGCATTACAGCAGTGTGAGACACTCCCTTTGTCCCCACCTTCAATCTACAACCAGTTAAACGTCCATAACTCAACAAAGGGAACTCTGCCCAACACATGAGGATGCCAGAAAATTCCACACATCTCTACATTTAAAGGTGGGTGGATTGGAACACATAGAGGAGGCAGAATGGAGGGAACAGGTGAGGCAATGCCTGAGATCCTGGCACCCAGTCATGGCATCTAAGCCCACAGCCCCAGAGAATCCAGGAGTAGCGGGGGGGGGGGCATTGCACACAATTCTGACCTCCCAGTCACAACAGCACCCACAGCCACAGGGAACTGAGAAGTGGCAGCAGGACCTGTGACTCTGTCCCTTCAGCTGTGGAAGCACCTCCAACTCTGGACCCCCACCCTCCCACCCACAGCAGCAGCACCCATGAACCTGAAAACCCCTAATGCAGCAGAGGTGACCATAGCTCCAATTGCCCTCCAACTCCCACCCTCCCCCCTCGGCAGTGAAGCCCACAGCCCAGACGCCCCTGGACAAGGTGCCTGCCTTTCTGGTGCCCCAGGCGGCAATGCCAGCAATAGCAGTGACACCAGCAAGAGCAAGGCACCAGTGACAGTGGGGGCACCGAACAACACCTCTGGCAAAGGCAGTGGGGTGGAAAGTGCCAATTCTCAAATATAGCCAGAGGCAGCTGAAGTAAGAGAAACCAAAAACCTGTGTTATAGTGTCATCTACTGAAAACAAACAAAAAGGCCTCCAATTACAAGCCTGTTGAATTGTTAGAAACAAGTTTAAAAGAAAGACAAAGCACCTTTACCTAATGAAGAAAGGTGTTTGCTACTTCAAATGCACCAGAAGAAGAACAACTCATCAAGCACCATCGTAACAATGGCATAAAAATTCTCCAGAAGCCAAACTGAAAATTACAGAGTATTGAGATCTAATTGATAGACAATTCAAGAGAGCTGTCGTGAAGAAACTCAAACTCAACATGATACAGCAAAACTCAGATAGGCAGTTCAATGAGCTAAGGAATGAAATTAATGAATAGAAAGAATACCTTACCAAAGAGACTGAAACATTAAAAAAAAAAAATCTGGAGCTGAAGCATGCAATAAATGAGATGAAGAACACATTATAAAGCAGGCGTCCCCAGCCCCTGGGCCACCTGTTAGGAATTGGGCCGCACAACAGGAAGTGAGTGGTGGGCCAGTGAGCGAAGCTTCATCTGCCGATCCCCATCGCTCCCCATCACTCACATGACTGCCTGAACCATCACCCACTGCCCCCGTTCGTGGAAAAACAGTCTTCCACACAACCCGTCCCTGATGCGAAAAAGGTTGGGGACCGCTGTTATAAAGCATTGGAAATAGGGCATCCCATGGAAGAGAGAATTAGGGAGCCCGAAGATAGAAATCTAGACATGATTCTGGTTGAAGAGGAGAGAGAAATAGGGTGTTAAAAAAAATTGAAGAAATTCTAAAAGAACTATTGGAATCCATTAGGAAGGACAACATAAGGATAATGGGTATCCCACAAGGAGAAGAGAGGGAGAAGGGAACAGAGAGTTCATTTAAAGAAATAATAACTGAGAACTTCCTAAACCTGGGAAAGGAACTGGATATATAAGTGCGTGAAGCTAAGAGAACACCTAATTACCTCAATGCAAAAAGACCTTCTCCAAGACACATTATATTAAAACTGCCAAAAGTCAATGACAAAGAAATCCCCATATGCTGCTGGTGGAAATGTAAACTGGTTCAGCCACTATGGAAAAGAGTATGGAGATTTCTAATGAAATTAAGAATAGAACTACTATAGGATCCAGCTATTTCATTTCTGGGTATTTATACAAAAAATATGAAAACACTTATTTAAAAAGATATATGCACCGCTATGTTCACTGCAGCATTAAAATAGCCAAGATATGGAAACAACCTATGTGGCCATAAACAGATGAATGGATAAAGATGATGTGGTATATATATAATGCAATACTACTCAGTGAAAGAAAGAGAGAGAGAGAGAGAGATAAAGAAAGAAAGAAAGAAAGGAAGGAAGGAAGGAAGGAAGGAAGGAAGGAAGGAAGGAAAGAAGGAGGGAAGGAGGGAGGGAGGGAGGGAGGGAGGGAGAAAGGAAGGAAAGAAAGAAATCTTGCCATTTGCAACATGGGTAGACCTTGAGGGTATTTGCTAAGTGAAATGAGCCAGAGAAAGACAAATACTGTATGCTTCCATTCACATGTGGAATATACAAACAAACAAACAAAACAAAAACAAAAACATAGATACACAGAACGGAGTAGTGGTTACCAGAAGGGAAGCAGAGTGAAGGGAGGGCAAGATGGGTAAAGGGGGTCAACTGTACAGTGAACGGATGGAAACTAAACTTTTGGTGGTGAGCACACTGCAGTGTATACAAAATGTGATGTTGTACACATGGAACATATATAATGTTATAAACCAATGTTACCTCAGTAAAGCATTTAATTTTAAAATAAATAAATAAGTAAAGGGAAGAGTGGATGGTTAACCAAAAAAAAGGTAAAATGCTATAAGCTATTCTTTTTTTTAAGAGGTAAAATATACTAGCTGTATAATAGTATTTATTTAAAACCATTTATAATTTTTAATGAATATTGGAGACCAAATGAAATGTATAGCATGATGTTTTTAATCCAGTGTGAGTGGGAAACAAATAGTACATGAAATTATGACCCCACCATTTTGTTCCTGCTCTTTTGAGCCAGAACCTTTTAACTCTCAGTTTATTAAGGAATATTTTAACCCAATTATACCAACATTGATGGATTTTTATCAAAAGGTGTTTTCTGATATTATCCCAATTAAGCAAATATAATTCTT